GTTGAGCTATAGGCGCCAAGCCAGTATATTCTTTTTGTGACAAGGCTGTTACTTGGTTCCCTTTCTACTTCTTACTGATAGCTTTGTTGCTTTGCGTCTCTGTAACCCAATTATGCGTTGCTTACCAATGGTTGTTGGATGATTTTGTCATTATGTGAACATTACAGAGGGTACTTACCCAAACCTAGATGGGGTAGCCTACCACAAACCTACTGTCTATGGTATAGCCTGCGGCTCCTTCCTAAGCTATAAACTGGTTGTAACACAGTGGTGTTTGTGTATGTAAACATATCTAAATATAGAAAAGGTAAAGTGAAACTGTGGTATAAACGAAATGATAAGAAATGGTACCCCTGTATAGAGCATGTGCTGTGAGGGAGCTTGCAGGACTGGATGTTGCTCTGGATGAGTCATTGAGTAAGTGATTGTGAAGGCCTAGATCATTACAGAGCATTGCTATAGGCTTTATAAATACTGTACGCTATGACTATGCCCAATTTATAAATGTTTTCCTTTCTTCAATAATAAAGTAACCTTAGTTTGCTATAACATTTTTTACTTTATAAAATTTTAAGCTTTTTAATACTTTTTGACTCTTCCAATAACTTAGCTTAAAATGTAAACACATTGTATAGCTGTACAAAAATATCTTGTTTAATATCCTTATTATATAAGCTTTTTTTCTGTTTTTAAATTATTTTATGTTTTACTTTTGTTTTAAACTTTCTTTTTTTTTTTTTTTAGAGGCAGTCTCCCTTTTTCGCACTTGGTAGATTGCCGTGGCATCACACAGCTCACAGCAACCTCCAACTCTTGGGTTTAGGTGATTCTCTGCCTGGGCTTCCCGAGTAGCCAGGACTACAGGTGCCCGCCACAGTGCCTGGCTATTTTTTTGTTGCAGTTCAGCCCGGGGCCGGGTTTGAACTGCCACGCTTGGTATATGGGGCTGGTGCCCTACCCACTGAGCCACAGGCGCTACCCTAAACTTTTTTTTGAGACAGAGTTTTACTCAGTCACCCTCAGTGGAGTGCTGTGGCGTTATAGCTCATAGCAACCTCAAACTCTTGGGCTAAAGTGATTCTCTTGCTTCAGCCTCCCAAGTAGCTGGTACTACAGGTGACCACCACAACACCTGGCTATTTTTAGAGATGAGGTTTTGCTCTGGCTTAAGCTTCTGGAACCTGTGAGCTCAGGCAATCCACTTGCTTCAGCCTCCCAGAGTGCTAGGATTACAGGTGTGAGCCACCATGCTTGCCTTTTTAAACTTGTGTTATGAAAAACTAAGACACAAACACACATATAACCCTAGGCCTATACAGGGTCAGACCATCAATATCATTGCCTTCTACCTCCACATCTTGTCCCACTACAAGGTTTTCAGGTGCACACAGTAACACAGGAAGCTGTCATTTCCGATGAGAACAATGCCTTCTTCTGGAAGGTTCTGCCTAAGGCTGTTTCACAGTTAACTTTTTTATTCTTGAGACAGGGTCTCACTTGGTCGCCCTGCGTAGTGTGCCATGACATCATAGCTCAGTAACCTCAAACTCTTGGGCTCAAGTGATCCTCTTGCCTTCGCCACCCAAGTAGCTGGGACTATAGGTGCCCTTAGGCTGCTCTTGAACTCCTGAGCTCAAGCATGCCACTCACCTTGGCCTCTCAGAGTGTTAGGATTACAGACATGAGCCATCTCTCCTAGCCAGTTAACTTTTTTAACATAAGTAGAAGAAATGAACTCTTAACAATGATGATAAAAAAAAGTATAGTATAATGAATATCTAAGCCAGTAACATAGTTGTTCATTATTGTAACCAAGTATTATGTACTGTACATAATTGTATGTGCTATACTTTTATATGACTGGTATTACAATAGGTTTGTTTACCAGTATCACCACAAATGTGAGTAATGCATTGCACTATGATATCTGCACGATGAAATCCACAGTCACTAGGTGATAAGAATTTTATAGCTCCTATCATTATAATCTTAGGGGACCACTGTTGCTTATATGACCAAAATGTCATTATGTAGCACTTGACTGTACTTACTCAATTGTGTTACCTCCATGTACTTACATATTGCCTTATAAGAGGTCTTGTTTAATGTACATATAAACTAGATCTAAGTGTATGCTATAACATTTAATACAGTGATAGAATGTAGTTGTTGTCAATAATAGAGTATGAATATAAAAAAGACATCTGTTTGAATTGTTTCTTACCTGGTTGTATATAGTAAATTCAGATTTTTATTGTATTGAAATAATACATTCAATCATCATGCATATGTATTATGGCATGTAAATTAAGGCAGTGTTAGAATCATATTATTATAAATATGTTATCATTATGATAACATTATAACTTTGTAACATAACACTAGTATTACTTAATAATGTATAAATAGCTTGACCCTCTAGAATGGAGGTTCTTAAAGGTTTTAGTGAACTACTATTACTAATAGGAAATGTTGTATTATTTACATGTGTTGGGGAGATAAGATTTTTAGTAATTAATGTCCTTAGGGGGAAGACTACTCAAATAACCATAAGGCATTATTTGATGGTATTTCATTCACCTGGAATGAAAACATTAAAAATTTTCCTGCTTGCAGGTGGCACCTGTGGCTCAGTGGGTGGGGCGTCAGCCCTGGCCAAACTGCAGCAAAAAATAGCCAGGTGTTGTGGTGGGCGCCTGTAGTCCCAGCTACTCAGAAGGCTGAGGCAAGAGAATTGCCTAAGCCCAGGAGTTGAAAGTTGCTGTGAGCTGTGACACCATGGCACTCTACCAAGGGTAAAAATGAGATTCTGTCTCTAAAAAAACCAAAAAAATTTCCTGCTTCCATTGGATAGAAGAAATGTCATTTACAATGAATGATTTTTTTTTTTTTTGTGGTAAGATAGGACTTTTGTTATAAGTTAGAAAGGAAAGTAAAAAGCACCAGAGATTCTGGAAGGGGGAAAGAACTGAAGGACACCCTCAGGAGTCTCCACGTGGGCTCTTTATCTAGGGTTCTTAAGTCTAGAGGATTTTATTAGTATTATTTTTTTTTTGTAGAGAGAGTCTCACTTTATCTCTCCGTAGAGTACCGTGGTGTCACACAGCTCACAGCAACCTCCAACTCTGGGCTTAGGTGATTCTCTTGCCTCAGCCTCCAGAGTAGCTGAGACTACAGGCACCCACAACAATGCCTGGATGTTTTTGGTTGTTGTTGTTGCAGTTTGGCTGGGGCTGGATTTGAACCTGCCACCCTCGGTATATGGGGCTAGTACCCTACTCACTGAGCCACAGGCACCGCCCACTAGAGGATTTTTTTTTTCTTTTTGTTGCAGTTTTTGGCTGAGGCTGGGCTTGAACTCCCCACCCTCTGCATATGGGGCCGACACCCTACTCCTTGAGTCGTAGGTGCCACCCTAGAGGATATTTTTTATCTTAATGATATACAAGGTAGGCTATAAACTTTTATTTATTTATTTATTTTAGACTTTTAAGTTAGAAAATAATGGACTTAATTTAGACTGCTGGAAAATAGAAATAGTAAGGACTTTATTATTGGGGAAAATAAAAACTTTATTTTATTTTATTTTATTTTTTTGAGATAGAAGCTCAAGCTGTTACTCTGGGTAGAGTGCTGTGGCATCACAGCTCACAGCAACCTCCAACTCCTGGGCTCAAGCGAGTTTCCTGCCTCAGCCTCCCAAGTAGCTGTGGGACCACAGTCGCCCGCCACAACGCCTGTCTGTTTTTTTGGTTGCAGCCGTCATTATTGTTTGGCGGGCCCAGGCTGGATTCGAACTCGCCACCTTAGGTGGATGTGGTTGGCCTTAGCCACTTAAGCCACAGGCGCCGAGCTGAAAATAAGAACTTTAAGTAGAATTTTATTATTGGAAAAGAAACCTAAAATTTAATAATAAAATGATAAAGTGATAAAAAATATTTCTGACTCTTCATGGAATAATGCAACTAAGTTGAAACTCTGTTCTGGTAATTTATTAACAGACCCTAGAATACTGTAATGAATTACTGAGGATGGTATTTGTTATATTCTAAACTGAGTCAAATGTCGGCTAACATTCCTACATTTTGATGCTGTTTGTTACTGATTATTTTGTAGCCTATTCCTCTGCCAGATCCTGTGGGTAATAATGAAGAAACACATGATCAAGTGCTGAAAACCAGATTAGCAGAAAAAAGTGAACGACTTGAACAAGGACCCATGATAGAACAACTTAGCAAAATGTTCTTTACTACTAAGCACCGTTGGTATCCTCGTGGACAGTAAGTTCTATTTTTTTTTCCTTGACTCCCACTAGACACACTACAGGAACATACATATTGTTTTTGTATTACCAGTCGTCAGAAGTGATATTCTGCATGGGAAATTTAACCCCAAGTATAGTCAAATACTATATTGCACTTAAATTTACACTGGAGCCTAGGAGTTGGAGGTTGCTGTGAGCTGTAATGCCACAGCACTCTACCCAGGGTGACAGCTGAAGGCTCTGTCTCAAAAAAAAAATTTTTCCCCCTTTGTTGTTGTTGTTTTTGTTTTTGTTTTTTTTGAGACAGGATCTCAGTCACTTTGGGGTTGAGTGCCATAGTGTCATAGCTCACAATAACCTGAAACTTTTGGGCTCAAGTGTTTCTCTTGTCTCAGCCTCCCAAGTAGCTGGTCAGAACACCTGACTATTTTTAGTAGAGATGGGGTCTTGCTCTTGCTCAGGCTGGTCTCAAATTCCTAAGCTCAAGCAATCCGCCTGCCTCAGCCTCCCAGAGTGCTGGGATTACAGATGTGAGCCACTGTGCCTAGCCCTCCCCCTTTGTTTTAATGGAGGAATTTAATGAGAGCTTTCAGTGAATTTTGTAAGTGTTCCTAAAAATTTTTCCATTCTATGATGTATGTTATTTTTATTCATCTTTCTGATATATAATTGTTTGTGTCTTTGGCCCTTTATTCCTTCTTTAACATTTTCAGTTATTACAAAAAAAAAATTGAGTGCAGCAAATGAGTGGCCAGTATATATTGTTCTCAGTTCCTTTGAGAAACTGCAATTGCCCTTGTGTTTGCAAGTACCTAACTTTTATTCTATCTATTCGTATGTACTATCCGACTCTGGCTTTAATTAGTTTTCTTTTTTTTTTTTTTTGTTCTTTTTTCTTTCATGTGTATCTTCCATACCAAACTATAAGGTTTTTATTCTTTACTTTTTTTGAGACAGAGTCTCACTATGTGAACCTTGGTAGAGTGCTATGGCCCCACAGCTCACAGCAACCTCAAACTCTTGGGCTTAAGTGATTCTTTTGCCTCAACCTCCCAAGTAGCTGGGACTACAGGTGCCCACCACAACGCCCATTTTTTTTATGTCGTAGTTGTCATTGTTTAGCAGGCCCTGGCCAGGTTTGAACCTACTAGCCCCAGTGTATGTGTCCAGCACCCTAGCGAGGGTTTTTTTTTTATTGTTGATATTTATTCCTTTGAACAAAATTTGTTCTTTCATTTATGTAACATATAGTAGTTAGCACTGAGATGGCACATTTATAGAAACAATAAATATTCCTGGTTTTTGCTATGTATAATGCATACATTTTTGCCCAAATTTTGAGGAAAAAAATAAGGATGTGCATTATACATAGGTAGTATGGCCTGGACTAGGGGAGCCCAGCAGGGCTCTTTCTGGGGCCCATGGGGTTCCACTCTGGAAGGATCCAGGATCTGGTGGGAGTGGACTGGAACATCCTCCGCAGAGCAGCACAATCAGGGAAGGGGGTAGTGGCAGGGCTGGCAAGGTGAGTGGCTGCTGCACAGAGGGAGCCAAGAGCCCCATGCAGGTCCCAGGGACCTGCCTGATTGCCCACAGGCTCAGAAACTCCTGCCCCACCAGCCATGGCCATGTCATCTATGGTTTGCGATACAGCAATGAGGGAAAGACTCCCAAGAAAGAGGAAGGGGCAGCCTTCACAGAGGGGCCTCCTCAGATGTATCTATCCCAGCTGAGAGCCAGCCACTTTCTCAAGTGTCATTTTCCTGAAAGTTTGGGCCAAAAACATGGGTACACCTTATACACCAGAGTGCATTTTACATGGCAAAATACAGTACTCAGTACATTCATAAAGCTTCTCTACTAAGTGCTAGGTGATCAAAAACACAATCCCCATTTGCAAGTCATTTACAGTCAAGGAGGGAAGATAATAAATAGACAGTTAAATCAAGGAGGGAAGATAATAAATAGACAGTTAAATCAAGTATTATTGAGTGTGGAGAAATGGTTAGGTGTTAACACTGGGGAGTAGGGGAAAAACTCCATAGGCAAAGGAAATAGATGTCAGATAAAGTGTGCTGGGTAAATTGCTGGTAGATTAGATTGTATAGAATCAAGAATATTAATTTATTACACTAAAACATAGCTCTTTTCCTGTTTAAAATAGCCCCTCCCTGGCTCGGTGCCTATAGCTCAACCGGCTAAGGCGCCAGCCACGTACACCTAAGGTGGCGGGTTCGAATCCCCAGCCCGGACCCGCCAAACAA